AAGAGAAATTATGAACAGGAAAATAGGGATTGACCAAATTACAGTAAAACAATGAACCAAAAATAAAAAATGCAAATAATATAAAAAGTTACATAAGAATCATCATTATCATAATGATAACAGTGATAATACATGAATATATCCTTTTATGTCAGACCTTCCTAAGAAATAATCCATGGTGTCTTTGCAATTTCTCTGAAGCACCTAAGAGCCAACAAAACCATAGTTAATGAGAACCAGACACAAAAAAATATCTTGAAATTAATAACAATCCATCAATAACTAGAGGAGTCCTATTTTTCTGTCAGTATCAAGTATTCATTAACCTACTGAAACACAGCTACCAATCATAAATGCACTGGCAGCCTACAAGAATGCTGTAATATTTTGTCACTGAAAATGTACTCAGAGAATCTACATTTGGTTTCCTAAGGGATGAGCTGTTTATTGGCAATTTGTTGCCCAAAACAAAGACAAAGGTACCTATTTGAAGAACCTGCATGGCAAGTAAAAGGACAAATTTTATTCCACCTGAAGGAGTTCTTATCAGTGGGGAAGCCACTAGTTGATGGTGAAATCCTTTTCAATTACAAAGGCAGAAATCTAAATCTGCACAGAAGAATCAACTTTCTGTATGGAAGAAAATTGATGGGCAAGAGCAGAAGCCTGCCAGTAGAAATGTACGAATGCAGATAAGCTCTACACTTAGATATATCAATCGGGAATGCAGAATAAAGATTTCAGTGAATAGAAAGTGTAGGCTATCAAGACAGATTTATAATCTAGTAATATGTCAGATTTTATATTTTTTCCTTTGCCAAATAAATGTGAGAAATTGTCCGACATGTTAGTGCCCATCAAAAATGAAACACTGTAAAACAAATCACAAAGGCTGAAATTGTATGTCACCTCACTCAACATGGATCTTATGTTTAGTTTGCGAAAAGTAGGTATCTTGATGCCATTACAGGTTACCTTAAGAATGATGATTTCTTTTTGAACTTCCTCTACTTTTAAAAGGAAAGATGGATCAAAGACCAGACTAAAAAAGGATGTTGCCTCCTTAATAATCATTATAAATGCTTCTCAAACACTTTGTAACTGGGATGAGAATCAGCCAAAGTACAGACAGGTTTTTTTTTCCACTGTATGGAATATGCACCAACTGCCACAGCTAAGAACAACAGCTTCATAAAAATTGCATCACAAACAAGAAAATAAAAATATGGTTTCAAGTCTATCAAACCTTATACATAAAATGCATTCAATTCTTCCATTATTTACCAATTGTTAATATAATTACCTAAGATCTAATACCGAATCACCAGCAATCTTTGGTTTGAAACAACTCAATCTGTTCTTGCAAAATGCATGCTGGTTTATTAGTAAATATCATAATACCAAGTTTCCAATGACCATGAAAATAAAGAAAATTAACACAATATCATTTTGTATTAAACATTTATGCATCATGGCTCTTTTTAGTATAAAAAAAGTATAATAAAGAAAATCACAAACAAGGCCATTGGTTGAGTACATTAGTCCTGAATGATAATTCCATATACATTGCAGCTGCTGTTATGAATGTTCATGATGAGACATATCAAAATGGGGTAAAGGAGATAAAGAGTGAAAAAAAAGTTACATTACATTGTTACTAAATGCTTGTGTGTGTGTGTGTGTGTGTGTGTGTGTGTGTGTGTGTGTGTGTGTGTGTGTGTGTGTGTGTGTGTGTGTGTGTGTGTGTGTGTATGTGTGTGCGTGTGTGCATGTGTGTGTGTGTGTGTGTGTGTGTACATATGTATCATTGTGTGTGTGCAAGCCCTTAAGCATAAGTGTGCACATGTGCTTATATATGTTTGTGTTTCTAAGGCAGATAATTATAAAAAAATATATGTACTAAAATAGAAGCCTTTGCTACTGATATACAGTGAGTTAGAGATGAACAACTTTATTTCATTTGTACTTTGTCTTGAGAACTTACTCATATGCTAACTTACTCATGCACTCTCCCATCTTTTGCTTATATGCCTTTCCTGGTCAATTCATTACTTATACATTGTTGTCTAAGACATTTGTCCAAGTGAAAAGGTGCGTCAACCCCCAATAAATTCATTCTATAAACACACCTCTTTTTCTATGCATGCATCTGCATATCTACAGGCTATAGTCATTCTGTGTCTTCATTCTTTCTCAACTGTTTCAACATCTAACATACACCAATACTTACTTTTTTCACTTCTCATTATTCTTTCTCAGTGTCATCCTGATCCTTTTATTTATCATAGCAAAACTACACAGCAGTTTGCATATCCTGCCCGTTGTTTAATAATCTATAGACCACCATGGAAGGGTTAATAAATCTACAAGGAATACTAAAGGCTATTCTTTGTTAATAAATCTACAAGGAATACTAAAGGCTATTCTTTGTTAATAAATCTACAAGGAATACTAAAGGCTATTCTTTGTTAATAAATCTACAATGAATACTAATGGCTATTCTTTGTATCCTTCTCTTCTACAGTTTATGGATTCATTGCATGTATGAGAATAAGACTGAGGTAGCAGATAGCCAAGGTGGACTTCATCCCTCAAACACAATGAAAAGACTATAACCCTCTTTTGGTCAGAAAGTGTTCCTAATAGCTCATTTTTTCCTATGAGTTCAATCTGCAAGACACAAAAATCCGTCTGTAAAAGAAATCAGGCAGAAAGCCCTAACAGATAAGAAACACAAATTTGAAAAATATCCCTAAACACTATTCACTGTACTGTAACCCAATAACCATTGTATTTCAGACCCAAGTACAATAAGGAAGTTCAAAATCTGATAATGGGCCCAAGCCTATGAAAGTTTACACGTGTGTATCTATATGCGTATTCATGAGATTGAGTGTCTTTGAAAAATTGTAATCAATATATCTAAAGTTCATATGGCAACATCAATACCTGTTTATAAAAACTTAGAATATAAAATTCATTAAAAGAAAGGACTTGCTGATCTTGTGACAGCTCTTTAATGATTTTATAACTTTCTCATATATATATACATATATATATATATATATATATATATATATATATATATATATATATATATATATATATATATATATATATATATATATATATGGGATTTACTTCCTACCTTTACATATATACGTTGATTCTACGCTTGAAAATATCTGTTATCCCATAAATTGTATCATTCAAATATCCATAGCTAAACTAAATCCACTAAATGTACCCTTAACAACTATTGAAAGCAAATATGTTTATGAGAATCCTTACACATTTTGATACCCACATGCTTTACTTTACAATGGATGTAGTCCCCTAGAGCCTGGGTACTGGCTGAGGTCAAATCTATAGCTAATACTAACCATACCATTGACACTAACCAAAAAATAATCCAAATGTGACTGCAGAGGCACTATCACTAGCTTATTCTTGCATACTTCCACTGATTAAAACCCTATGGATCCTACATGCTGTCACTACTCACATGGGATGGATTTAAAGGACAGCCTAAACTCTTCTTTATTCTATTTTACTAATATTAGCTAGTACAGTAATGATGAAATAAGTTAGAATATTTTAATTCCTCATTTCAGATACATTTTCAGATATATATAAAACCCAATTATGCATTCTGATGTGTGTAAATTCACTTGACATAAATTCATGTATTGTGAGCTATAAGAATAAGCAGCTGATTAGGTGTTCTGACTCAATCTGTTACCAGCAAAAAAAGATTATACATTATCTTATAAATAATAAAAAACACATTTAAGATAGAAAGTATAATAAAACCCAACCCTTAACACCACATTCTTCTATAATAAAGTCTGTGTTATTTATTACTATATGAAAATCTGGTATGCTTCACCCATAAACTATAATAAATTCATATTTATCTGTCTATATACACATCTGCATAAACACACTCACATACATATATACTCTCACTCTCCCTTTCAAACTCACTCACTCACTCACTCACTCACAAAAAAATTGATGATGGTGTAATTTCACTAACCTCTTAAGCGTTACCAGAGTACCAGTTAATTTCTTGCATCGTCGAAGTGCACTTTCTAGCTTGTCTGGTTCTTCCTTAAGGAACCTGAAAAAAACATTCGTAAAATTAGTCTCTAATAATGGATACCATGAAAACAGGAAATTTTTCAGTCAGAAAACAAACATTCCAGAAACATGATGTCTTTGCATCTATTTCAACAGGCTGTGGTTATGTGCTGTTATATATATATATATATATATATATATATATATATATATATATATATATATATATATATATATATATATATATATATACATATATACATACTTACTTAGTGTAAGAATTTCCCTCCAAAAAATCAGCCACTTTTATAAGTTAATCATTGTCATTCATATCAGAGGAATACCTCATCTAAATAAAATTTGTCTTTAAGAACTGGATTCACTTTACATCTTTGAATATAATATGTGACTTGATGGTTTATCAGAATGTTAAATCCAGACATCACTAAAATTAATCTATAATGTAACCACTATCATAGTAGGCCTATTACTATGAAACATCAACAAAGTCAGAGTAATATTTTCATTTAAGTGGACAATAAAAAAATCATTCATCATACAGAGATATGACCGAACCCTGTATCAACACATTCATTGTATTTAAACTCTTTTGCAATATATTCCTCCCAGCTAAAAAACCCACCATTCAGCATTTTAACTGAGACTACAAAAAAAAAGAAAAAGACCTCATATAAAATAATCAAAGAATGTTTCTCAAATGTACATACAGATAGTCCCCTACTTAAGAACACTCTACTTATGAACATTCCATACATACAAACAAAATTTTTGAAGTACTAAAGTCAAAAAAATTGTTTGAAAGATGTTAGCAAACTTCAAATTTCCTGGGCGCGAATATAGTTCAAGAGTCTGGTACTTTATAAGGTATGTCATACTTATTGGGATTTACTTACAGG